GGCGTCGCCCCCAGGCGCACACCCGCTCAGCGGAATTCGTGCGGCTCCACCTGCCGTCCGCGAGCCACGCTCGGAACGCTCGTTCTCGACACACTCAGTGTCCACCAACTCGGAAACTCCGATGTCCAGCGCATTGACCGACTCGGTCCAGTGCTCGCGCCAAAAGCGCTTCTGCTTCCTAGCAGAGGTGGGTTCATGACTCGCCAATGCTCCGCCAGGAGAGAAGTGCGTAGCACCAAGGGTGTTCGACCTCCAATCGATCCAAGGCTCGTGGAGTTCCAGCCACGCCATACCAAGGATGAGATCATATCTCGAATCGAGGTCTAAGACCAGACAGCGTTCCACGCTATCAAAATCCAAAAACTTCACGCCCAGGTCCACAGGGACCTTAGGCACCGTGACACGAGTGCCCGTCGCGAGACGAACAATGACGATGTCACTTCCGCGCGCTACCAGCGCCTCAGCATAAAGCGGACTTCCGTCAATCGTAGAACGCCGGGCGTAGTTACCCGACGCTCCCGAATCGATCAAAATCGTCCATGGCTTGGTGAAGCCCTTCACCCAAGCTTGGACAACTAGCAAGCCCGGCTTGCATACACGTTCCGTGTTAGAGAGTACGGCTCTCTTCGGGGCTAAGTCCACCTCGCCGAGGCTCAATAGAACTTAGTTCTTCCCCAGTAGGCCGCCCCACGCCTACTGGGACTTCTCGTTTCCCCGAGACAAACCAGAGCCCTGGCTCGAACTCGAAGAGCGGCTCGACGAAGCCTGGCGCTGATGGCGCAGCGGATACCGCGACGCTGCTCAGCAGCACGAAGCTCGGCTTCTTCGTCTTCAGCATAGCTGATGTCCATGGGTTCCGGACCACTCGACGCGCTAGCGTAAGACGCATTCCACCCAAGTCTCGACGACTTAAAGTTGTGCTCCGCATTCAATGCGACGCTCACAGCCTCTTCAAAAGAGCACGGGTGGGTTCGGAACACCTCCGTCCTGGCAACGTCAGTGCGGAGCCCTTCCATGAACACCGTAACGGTGACTGCTTCCGGCAGGGGGTCCGCAGACATGCCAGCAATGAGAGTTCTCAACTCTTGGACGTAGTCCATCAACTCCTTCTTGCTCTGCCTGGTCGCCAGGAAGCGTGAGCGCACACGATACGCCTCGCTAGGCGGAGCAAACACTCGGGACAATTGCTGTTTCAGCTGGTCCCACGTCGGGAAGGCCACCTCGACCGACGTCCCGGACGTTAGTGCCCACTCTCTCGCTCACCCACCGAGCTTTGAGATAGCTAGTGCCACGCGCTGCGACTCCGTCCGGAGTAGAGCTGAGCTCATAGCCATCTCAACCTCACGGGTCCAAAGCATCAAGCTTTCATCCTCCTTGCCTTCGAAGGTCTTCACGCTCACCATGAGCGGCTTGGGTCTTATTCCCGCGTCGAATGACGAAGCGGGCGCTTGGGGCGCCGCGGCCGTCGCCATCCTCTGCTGGAGGTGCTCTAGGAGAGCATTCTCGTAGCTTGAAAACGCCTCGAGACGCGCGTTCACCGCGTCGGGGCCTTGCTGCGCAAGTTGCGTCACGCCCTCCGGGCCCAGCAAGGACATAAGCTTTTTAAGCGCATCCTGCTGGTTCGGGGGTAAGAGAGCGAACTGCTCCATTCTCCACAGAGGGTCAGTCTATATGTCGGATTGACTACGAGTGCTACCAAGTGCAGCGGGGCTGCTGTAGCTTTGCGTCAGAGGAAGCTTAACAGACTCACAGAGTCTCAGCTTAAGATAGCCCGTTCTAATACCAGAACGTACGAGTCCGTACACCTAACGGACTCCAAGAGTCAACCCTTAACTCTTAGCTGTGTGAATCTCAAACTGAATGTATTTCCCTTTATTGCGGCAAAGCCGCCTACGGTGTAAATGTATCCGGTTCACTATCTAGCATAGTGAACCCTAGTCATATGCATAATCAGTGGCTCTGAAGCCATGTACTGATTCTCCTACTGATTTAGGTTAGACAGTGTGTACCCACTTCGTAACCCTTCGGGTAACTCTCGTGTAAACCCGTTAGAATGTCGATCGGCATGGCATGGTGTTTGAACACCATGCCAACGAACAGACGCGCCGTCTGCTTCGCAGTCACTTCAGTGGGTATCGCAGTAAGATGTACCATCTTGCTGAAGCGGTCAACAAAGACCACAATACCCGTGTTCCCCTGGCTGTCCGGGGGAAGATCGAACACGAAGTCCAAAGTCATGGACTGCCAACACTCCGACGGAGTCGGCAGTGACTGCAAGAGAGCCTGCGCGAAAGGCGCAAGCTTCACACGTTGACAAACCTCGCAAGAACGGACGTACTTGCGCACCCATTTATACTGGTGGGCCCAGTAGAATCCCGCGTGAGAAGAAGGTATGTCTTCTCACGGCCCGGATGCCCCGCAGTCGGTGCATCGTGATACTCATACATGATCCTGAGTCGCAGGTCGTGGCCATTGGGCACGACAACGCGGACCGCGTTGTCGTCGACTGCACTGTAGAGTAATAACCCGTCGTGCACCCGGTAACGGTGTGCACGAGCACGAAGATGCTACGGCAGCTTCTGACGAGCTTTGTCAGAAGGCGCTGAGCCATAGGCCAGCAAGAGCTTCGCGTCCGCGTCGTGCACGGACGCGACCTTCACGTCGTCCAACAGTGACGACGTTGGGGTGCTCGATCGCATGGCGTCAATGGCATTGACGTCGGCATCAGTCGTGGCGTAGTCAGGTCGACGCGAGAGCGCGTCGGCCACCACATTGAGTCTTCCGGGTTTGTACTCAACCCGGAAGTTATACTCTGCGAAGAATCCGTTGCGAGATGTGCGGCTTCACAGCCGTCCGCAGCGGCGCGTGGTCCATCTAGACCACGAACGGTTTGCTTCCGAGTAGATACACTCGGAACTTCGCGAGTGCGTACTTCATGGCAAGGAGTTCCTTGTCATGTACCGGGTAGTTGCGCTCAGCTGGCTTCAGCTGACGCGATTGGTATTAGACGACACGATCACGGCCCTCGTGATCGTACTGCATCAACGCACATCCGATTGCGAAGTCGGATGCGTCACACACAACGTGGAATGGGCGATCTTGGTCGGCTACCGCCAAAATCGGCGCCTCAGCCAAGCCTCGCTTGACTGCATCGAAGGCCTGCTGACACTCAGCAGTCCAAACCCACTAGGCGTCCTTCTTCAGGAGCTGTGACAGCGGGCGTATCATGCCCGCGTAGTCCTTCACGTACTTGCACAAGTCCGTGGCCAAACCAAGGAACTGTCGCAGTTCCTTGACGTTCGACGGCGTCGGCCACTCATTGATCACTCTGACATTCTCAGGGTTAGGGCGGACTGACACGAGGCCAAACGGGATTTTCCGGGAGGCCGGAGTGAGTCGCTTGACGTGGCAGAATTCTGCACTCTGATTGGCTGGTTGATGGGTTCAGCCCCGGCTGCACCCGTGTGACATGGTGTTCGCCAGGCTTCGACGGTGTTCCGCGGAACGAGTGTGGTGAGATCGAAGATGGGCCCTTCAGACTTGGAAGCTCGCGTTTCAGGACGAGAATCCCTGGAATCGAGTGTTACGTCCAAGTCGCCCCCGTCCTCAAGCGGGTTGACCCTCGGGATGTCGAAAACGCCCCTGCGAACGTATTGCAGCTGGCGTCCCGCCTCGCTTCGATAAAGACCCACAAACTACCTCGCGCACCCGGAACAAGCTCAAAGCCTCGCAACACAAGTCGCGCCCGCTGGGACCGGATGCCTGAACCCAAGTGCTACAGAATCAAGGATCCCTGAAACGCACCCTCGGATTCAAGCCTGAAACCAAGCGACGATGCCTGACCTGATTTATACCCAGAAGTCGCTGACTGAAGAGTGGGATGATGGGATGAAAAATCCAGTCTACTTCGAAGTCAGCGTAAACAACGCCCCCAAGGATACTCAAGTCAAGATATTCACGAAGATCGCACGCAAGGAACACGGTAGAACACAGAAGAACCCAGAAAAAGATAGCCTTTACATTGAGCTTAGCGATAGTCTAGCAGATAACAATCAGAGAGTTCGTTTTACCCCTTACTGCGCAAGTCGAGAGTCACTGCCAGCCAGGAATCGGGTCCGTCGGTCGCCAAGGACACGGTCGTCGCGGAGCTCCCCACCATCATCAAGTCCATCTGCGTGGGGATCATTCGCTCGAGCGTCTGAAGTGATCCACGCATTCCATATCCTAGTTGGACCCATTGCGTGTAGGTAAGGGTGGAGTCCCATTTCATGTTACTGATTGAGCTTGGGAAGATTTATTAGCGGTTGTCCCCTGAGTGTTTGACTTTGAGCCTGCATTTGTGAGAGAGGATTGTATTGGATTGTGTATATTTCCCTCGTTAGAGGGTGGTGCGCGTTGCGAAAGGCCCCAGAGTTGACCAGTACTCTGGAACCGGCCTAGTTGACTGGCTTAAGACCCACCGCCCAAGAGTCGAAGAATAAGTGGCGGCTGTTTGTTGTGTATAACTCTGTATTGTATTGGTTTATCGGAAGCTGAGTGTATTCTGGGATCTCCTCGTGGACCTACCAGTTTACCCATCTCGTTGCGCCTCCGGTCCCCTCGCCATTGAGTAGTGTACGTCACGCTCAACTGGTTAACTGCCTATTTGTATTGAACAACTCACTTGGTGATCGATCCAGGCTCCGCAAAGGCAAACGACGCCGATAGGGATTCACAAGGTGACAGGCCATCCCTGGAACTTGGTTTCAAGGAACTCTGGTTTCAAAGGACTGTGGTTCCAGGGACACCTCCTCTAGAGGCTTTGCAACACCAAAGCCCGGGCTACAGCTATACAAAACCTCCTGGACAGTTCAGGTTTTCACCGAGCCTCGTCACAGCTGGTGCGCGTGCCCGGATTTGGGGTCCTCGGATTTCACCAAGTTGTTTTATTTGTAGGAATTGATTAGTTGGGCTTCGTTAACTTCTAACCAGTGTTTATGGCGAGATGACGAGGCAAATAAGATGGAGGGCGTGGTGATGGAGGTCGTGGTGAGGCGACGCGTCACTCGCGCCGCACGCAAGGACTGCCTGCGGAAGAGCACAAGGACCTGGATGTCATCAGCCGGGAGAATCGTGCGCGGAAGAAGGCAGAACGGGACGTCAAAGCGGCTGCAGAGCAAGAGCACAAGGCGACCGAGAATGCTGCTCAAGACGACCAAGTGTCGACGGAGGCGGCAGACCCGGCCCCAAGTTCAAGCTCGAAGCCTGGAGGTGTCGAAGAAGAGCAGGCTCACAACCCTGAGTCTGCGCCGGCGTCTGAGGGAGGCGCCAATGTGGGTGAGCCCCCGGCAGCGGATCGAGTTTCGGACTCTCCGCCGCCGGATCAAGATGTGGAAGTGCTCAACGTAGTTCCAGCCAAGGTCAAGGTCGAAGTGATCTTGATCGAGGATTCGGAAGCCGAGGCGGAGTCAGCGCTTCAGGATGCGGATGCGTCTTCGCGCTCGCCGCAGAGTTCGTCAAACCCGCCCCCGTCATCGTCGCAGGATCAAGCCTCTGGATCAGGGTGTTGCCGCAAGGTGATGCCTCGAACCTGGCTCCAGCACCTGAAGGCCAGAACGCGGTATTGCGTTCGAGCCCAAGTCCAAGTGCGAGCGAGGTCCAGCTTGATGAGGCGGCGGCGAAGAACTTCGTGGCTCGACAAGTGTATCGCTGGGAGCAGATGCGTTCTGAACGCGTCGTTCCACCTTCGGTCGAGTACGCTTGGCCGACTCCGCGTCCAGACTTCACGGCCTGGCAAGAAACTACCATGGTGACGTCGGATTACTTGCGGAATCGAATGGCTCTGGATGATCGGGATGCGGCTTGGATCTCCGGGCTGCGTCCTGAGCGCAGAGTTCTCGGGATCGCTCAAGATCTGACGGCACTTGCCATCCCTCCGGCCATGATGACCGCGCGCGAGTGTGCGGCCGTTCTGGAGACCTTGCTCTTTGAAGCTGGATTCGAGTTCGTGAATGCGGTTCCAGACTGGTTCCTGACACACGCGTCCAAGATCAACCCTGGATACGTGCGATCGGGTGCTGGAGAACTTCAGCAAGTGTTGACGATTGAGCTCATCGAGTGGAAGCAGCTCACTGCCGGTGTTCCATACAAGGTGGTGCCAGCTGTGAAACCGGAGAGTGCGTTCAACAAGTCTTCGGACTAAGGTGCTCAGTCTCAAGGTGCAAAGGATGATTTGTTGATGGAGGATTATAAGGTCGAGCTACTCGGGCAAGCCTTTGTCTCGCAATGTCGGATGGCTGGGATCATGGCTCTGCGCAGCCCGCGAGGGTCGCCGGAGAATGAACCTGAACCCAAGCGCCCTCAACGCCGACCTGCTCGTCCGCTCAGCATCTCAACTCCGTCAGATCACTTCCTGGTACCATCGTCGAACGTGAGCCTGAACTCGGCAGCCCGTGCGATGAGCGTCCAAGGCTCTGTCCCGGACCCGTCGTCCAGTGGCATCTCGGATTCAGTTCCAAGTATGATCGGCACATCGGGAACCTCGGACAACTCGCCTTACACTACGTCGTTCGGAACGCAGTCGTCCAGGGAGAGCTCGTCGTCGTCGTCGCTGATGTCACTGGGCCACGGAGCTGCGTCGCATATGCGTCTAAGTTCTGGACCGCTAGTCATGAGCGTCCAAGCCGGTGGAGCCATGTCTGCACCTCCCGATTCAGGGATGTTCGTGACTCGAACGGTGATTCCAACACGAAGGACGCTCCCGGATCAAGAAGATGTTGACATGACCAAGATCGAGCATGTTGAAGCGCCAAGCAGCCGGACCACATCCAAGCATCGGTCGTCGAGACCGCGAAGGGTGAATACGGAGAAGTCTGAGCCCTCACACAGTGAGACGGGCTTGATGTCTGAAGGCCGTCACCTCTCGTCTGCGAGTTCGCGTCATGGCCGGTCGCAGAGGAGTCGTTCCAGCAGGACAAGTCGTTCGATGTGCTCCGGATCCAGGTCTTTGTCCGCATCTTCGGGTGCAGCGCAAGTCGCCTTGAACCTCATGCGCCAGTTGCAGGAGCAACAGACTGCGTTCCAAACGCAGCTCAGCCAAGCGCAACTGAACATGCGTCTAGAGGTGCAGCGCGAACTCCAAGGTGCCGGCAACGAGATCCACGCGCTGAAGCAGGAGATGGTCCGAGTGAAGGCTGAGAAGTCTCAAGCGGAGATGGCGCTAGCGCAGGCTGAAGCATCTCGTGCTGAAGCTGAACAACGCGCTCGTGCTGCTGAAGCACGTCCGACCTCGAAGATCTCTGAAGCCGCTACCCGTGACGAAGACTTGGAAACTTCTTGTGAAGCTGACATACTTTCTCCTCCACGAGCGCACTCATCCACCATGGAACCTGCAGACTACGAGCGAGTGGCCATCGACGACGCACTGCGCTCGAACACGTATGAAACTTCTTGTGAAGCTGACATACTTTCTCCTCCACGAGCGCACTCATCCACCATGGAACCTGCAGACTACGAGCGAGTGGCCATCGACGACGCACTGCGCTCGAATATGAAACTTCTTGTGAAGCTGACATACTTTCTCCTCCACGAGCGCACTCATCCACCATGGAACCTGCAGACTACGAGCGAGTGGCCATCGACGACGCACTGCGCTCGAACACGTATGTCGTTGATGCCGCGACTCGACGCCTGCGCGAGCAGCACGAGGCAGACCGAGAGGAGTTGGAACGACGTTGGAAGCTGCGTCTGGACGATGTTGAGGCCGAGCACCAGCGCGCTGACGCCGACCGCGCCCGCCGTACCGCTGAGGCCGACCGTGAGATGAATGCGCGCTTGGACTCGGTGCAGCAGATGATCCAAAGTATCAACCTGGAACGCGAGCGGGAACGTGCGGAGCGGGACCTGGAGCGTGAGACCGCGCTGAACCGGCAGAAGCATTTGGCTGGTCAGAATCGCGAGCTTCGTGCGACATTGTCCCAGATTCAAGCGCTTCGTGCAACGCATTCCCCCGAACTTGCAACCGGAGTGAAGGCTGTCGTGTCGTCCAACCCTGATTCTGCAACCAAGAATCCAGTATGCAGTGGTGCAATCAATGATGACGTGCCGACTCGTACCGGCTATGCCCACTTGAAGAACACGACCGAAGTCGGCAGGGCACAGTTGGAAGCGACGCTGGGGACGAGCGCCATTAAGCAGGAAGCTGCTGAACATGGGCGAACCACGAAGGAAACCAAGACTACAACGTCGAGGAGCTCCGCCGTGAAGACCAAGACTGCGTCGGAGCCTGAAGCTGGTTCCAAGTCTGCGACTAAGAAGGGTTCATCCAAGAGGCCTCCGTCCAGAAGATCCTCTTCCCGTAAGGGTGAGAAGGAGGATGCAAACCCGCCCTCGTCGGACCCGGATGACTCGGACTCAAGCTCGCCGGACGTTAGCGCCGGCTGCTCCAGTTCCAGCGGATTCAGCAGCAGCTCTAGCGATGACATGGACCTGGCTCGTGACTTCCGCGCTGACAACGATCACCAAGGTCTTTCCGACCTCGTCGGGCTGGGCGCGCGTTCGTGATCCAAGACTCCGAACCTGACTCGGATTCGGAACCGGAGCGGCGCGTGCGGTTTGAAGAACTTGATGATGAAGAGGAGCCTGCGGCACCCTCGGCTCAGGTAGCGCTTGCTCAGGGACGTGATAATCACTCCGGTGAAGTTGCGCACTCTGTGCCACCGCCTGGTTTCAAACTGCAGGATATGATCAAGGAGTGCTACCGTGTGATGGAGTCTGAAGGATGACGTCCACCATTCAACAATCACGCAAGCGGCCCAAGACCGCCGTCGCCTGCGCATGGGAACCCGCCGCCCCCGAGGACGTGTGACAAGTGTGGGAAGTTAGGCCACTCGAGAGAGTATTGCTGGGCAGACCTGACCTGTGACCGATGCCATGACCATGGACATCCGACCGAAATGTGCCGCGTAAACCCGTGCCCAAGATGCAATCAGTTCCATCGAGGTATCTCGTGTGAAGACTGGAGAGGTTTCCAAGCGATGAAAAGGTACACCCACCAAGGCATGTCCAAGGATGTGCCGACCCAAGTTACAGCCAAGTCCCAAGGTACTGAGGCCGACTCTGGGGAGAAGCCGTTAAACCACTAAGCCCGCTGGAAGGGGTTCCAGAACGCGTCGGGCTCAAGAAGACCCCAGAGTTGTGTGCCTTGGTATACGTTGGCCCAGAGCTGAGAAGAAGAAGAAGACAAGACCGTGATAACCAACAATGCATGACCGTGTTTCAAGATTCCAACCCTGTTTCAGACAACCTGGCTTCAGATAACGTGCGTTCGAGTGATGTGCGTGCAGAAGCAGAGGCTCCAATCGAGTTTCAGCTTCAGCCAGGAGAACGTTATGGATGGTGGGAAGATCATGAGCCGGAGAATGCGCATGAGGTGACTATGGTGCATGGAGCTGTGAACAATTGTCGGACCAAGATCCTCCTGGACTTTGGTGCGTCTGTCAGTATGCTAAGCGTTGACTTTGCGCGTAAGTTGAAGCTGAAGCTCAAGTCGCACAAGCAGATGAAAGTCTCAGGACTGGGAGGTGTCCCGACGTACATCACAGCTCATGCTGAGGTCAAGATCACTCTTGGGCCACGGATTGTCTACGTTTTCAGGCTTTGGGTGGCCAACATTGGTGAAGGTGTGGATGTTTTGCTTGGGATGAACTTTATGACCAGTGCTGGTGTACGACTGTCGATTCGCGAAGGACTTGTTCAGCTGCCGGACGAGGAGACGATCTTGATGTATGGAGGTCCCGATCGAAGTCACATGGGCTTGGACCTGCCGGTGAACCCTACGGAGACATTGTACTTGGATCCAGGGCAGAGTGCCATTGTACGAATCCGGTATGGGCAGTCGAACCCTCAACGTGAAGTCGTTTGGGCTGGACGCGGAGATCGCTGAGTGACGAAGATCACCTATGCGGCAAAATCCTGGCCGGTTGCAGTCAAAGTGGTGGACATTTCAGACAAACAGATCTGGATTGACCCTCTAACTGCTGTCGCCAGGATCGTGGAGTATGGATACTTCCCTCGATCAGGTCGGTTTGTGCGTCCAGGCAAGAGGCAGTACCAGGAGTGGCAACAGCTCATCTATGAGAACACGCTGTCGGCTCAAGCTCAGATGCGAGCTGACAGACTAGCTCAGTTGCAGTATGAGCAGGAACCGCCATGTGTCCAGACGTCTTCGTATCCCTGGTCGTCCAAGATCTTGCCCCGTCCTGCCAATGTGACTGCTGAAGTTCGACTTGCTCGGTTGTGCAGTGTGTTGGCTCCCTCGAAGGTAACTTATTCTGATCCAGCGGGGAAGGATGTCATATTCGAGATGAAGGATGTCGCGGTTCAGACCGACGAGTTCGAGGAGGAAGCTGCGGTCCAGGACATTGGCGTGGATACTGCTGATTTGAACGACGTGGTGAGTGCTCGAGAAGCCGCCGTGTCACAGGCAGACCCTCCAGTTTCTGGCTGCACCGGCTCCGAAGTGTCTGCTGCTGTGGAAAGTGGTGATGATGACTGTGATGACGAAATGGAGGCCGTTTCAGGGACGGCAACGCAGGGTTTCGCCAGTACCCCGGTGGAGATGTTGGAACGCGAGTACGCGCGCTGTATGCGTCTCGCTGCGGAGGAATTGGACTTTGAACCAGCTGTCTACATCCGAGAAGGAAGCGAGTTGATGGCGCAGTTGCGGGACCAGCTTGCTATGCTACCAGAGATGGAAGATTTGAGCCCGGAGTGCCAGATCGAAGAAGCCGATGTTGGAGAAGAAGGGGTCTCGACGCCGGAGATGAACGAGAAGCTGAGGAACGTTCTCCACTACCACCGGAAGATCTTTCTAGGTGATGGAAACGCTGCCCCAGCTCCTGCGCGAAGCGTAGTGTGTGACCTGGACGTTGGAGACGCTAAACCGGTGGCTCAACGTGCAAGGCAGATTGCTCCTCATCTCTGGGTCAAGGTCTATGAGCTGCTTAAGAAGCTCCTTGAAACCGGGCTGATCGAGTGTTCTTTCTCCGAGTGGGCTTCGCCGATCGTGATTGTACTCAAGAAAAATGGTTTGGATATCAGGATGTGCATCGACTACAGAGTGGCGAACCAGTTTATCAAGCTGTCGTGCTATCCGCTCCCACTCATCGACGATCTACTCATCGGGTTTGAGTCCGCCATGTGGTTTATGAGTCTCGATATGACAAGTGGTTTCTGGGCCGTGCTCATGACGGAGCGTGCCAAGTTGATTTCAGCATTCATTTGCCCGTTTGGACATTTCCAGTGGGTCAGGATGCCGTTTGGATTGAAGAACGCTCCGCTGGTCAACCAGGCAGTAATCAACAACTGCTTGTGGGGATTTGTTCGCTTGCCACCGGAAGAAGAAGCCAAGGTTGATCGTGATGTTTTGGAGTT